GATTGTTAGATTTTTAGATATTTTAAATTAGGACTTTTGTATTTTCATGTTGGCAACGACAGCTAGGTAAAAAAAATTTTATTTTCATTTTATTATATACGAGAAATTTTTTTTTCTTATGTTGGCTAACCGATCTCCCGAAATTTGATTTTGTTGATATCTCGCTGTTATCAAAATCGGGAAATCTGTCCTAGCCCCGCGTATAACCTAACCTAACCATTCACCATTATATTCTACAATCAAGTAAAATATTTAACAAACTTAAACATTTCATGGAAAAAAAATTTGATTATTATGCATGGTAGATTGATTGCTTATATTATTACTACTCCATGACATAGATGTTATCATTTTTTTACCGTCTAGTTATTGATAGTAACTGTGATAGTAAGAGTAACATTATACAATTTAAATAGCAATTAATTATTAAATAATAAATATTCTATTACTGACTATTAAGTACCTAGTACCTACTACCTATAATATTTTATTTATTCGTAATTCTTATAAAATATATTCAATTGACTGTTATAATATTGAAGTGAAACTATAATATTCTATTATTGACTATTGATTTCTGCAGGTTCCAGACTATAGGCTTTCGATTGATCGTAAATTAACCACTATTAATAAATTAGCAATTACTAATTACTGGATAGTGTGTGTTTAACTCACATCTCACAGTAATAAGTGTTTAGTTTTAAAAGTACAAACGTGATCAGGTTCATAAGTTGTAAGTTATATTTATTTTATTTATTATATTATTCTACGCTAATATAGTTTTATCTTACTTTTGTTTTCAAACTATGCAGTTTTGATAGTTGTCCTTTTTCCACCTATAAAAGTATTATTTATTATGTGCAATTGTGTTTCTGCGTTTCATACAGTATACACTCAATACAATAGTCAAAGTATCATCTTTTAATAGATCAATTTTTCAAATTTAACTAAGCACTTCTATAAATATATTTAATTTTAATTTCTATGTTATTGTTGTAATATTCAAATCAAAAAAATATTTTTAGGAAACCACTTGCTCCAAAATATGAAATTATACTTGTGGAATTTATAACAGACATATTTTTTTTCCTGTATAAACATCTATACTTGCTGCCTTCCAGAAAATGTATAGCTGTAATAATTTTGAGTAAAATACAAAAACATGTTACCGTAACAAATACAATTCTCTAATGGCTGATCTCAAAAATTACTTGACCAATTTCAACAAAAATTATATCAATTACTTGAGACTCATAGTGTGTTCAAGATTACCTATTTGTTCAACCCCTTTTGTGGCTAAGGGTACCTTACACATTTATTTTGTTTTGGCTCACAAAACAAATTTTTTTTTGTTTAGTAAATGTATCCTATTGGTTAAAGATTACATAACTGTTAAATATGGCATGTTTGAATATTTTTTCACACAATATATTAGGTATAATATGTTTTACATGCAGGGCGTTTAAATGTTAACTCATAAATAGATTTACTACAGGTACTGACTGGCTCACAACATTTTTTTAAATCATTGTCTGTTAACAGAGTTTAGAGTAATTTTGATTGGGAATTACACTTGCTTTAAAGTGATGTGGAACTTACTATTTATTGTGTATTAATGTGTTCCTTATTTTTAGGTAAATAATAATGGAATCATTAATTTTGGAAGATTTAAGAAATTTAGGAAAATCCATTTCTGCTAAAGAATTTAAAAAATCAATTAACGGTGGACCAAAATCCATCAAGTATACTCAATTAGTTGAATGGATAACCAAGGAAATTCAGATACTATTGGGACTAGAAGAACATGTAAATTCTATAACCTCTGAAGCAGATTCTAGCTCATTTTTATTGGAAGTTAGTAGTTTCTTAAAAGAAACTGGTTGTTCTTATAACACTCTTATTGCAGGCCACTTTGAAGATCGTTTAAATTCAGATGAAAACAAGTTACTTTTATTAGATTATTTGATTGGTGAGTTAAGAGCATCTCGAATAATAAATGCTACCACTGCTAATACCAAATGTAATATGCAAGTGACATTAATTGAAAGCAATACATCTAAATATGTTAAAGAGATTTTAATGACATTAAATTTTCCTAAGCCACCACAAGATATCAACACTTCTTCTTTATTCAACAAAGTTAATTCAAAATTGCAAGATCTTCTAAAAACGGTTCCGTCTGCATTAATTGGAAAGTCATTGGTTTGCAATTCATACAGTAGTGAACAATGGAAATACATTAATAATAGTATTGAACTTCTTAATGAAGAATTTAACATACGAAGTAAAATGTTGTTAACTAGACTTGATGTAACAGTACAATCATTTAAATGGCCTGACAGACTAAGAAATAAAAAACAAAAATTGGAAGAAATTTATCAAACTAAATTAAATCTAATACAAAAATTACCTAATTTTTGTACATCTGATTTTCTATCGGCTAGAGATGATTTAGCAATTGTTGAAAAAACTTCTAGTATGTTAGCTGTTCAAAATACAAATTCATCAGTTAATAAGGTTATGATTGGTCAAGTACCTGATAGAGGTGGAAGACCAAATGAGCAACAAGCACCACCTCCTGAGATGCCTAGTTGGCAACAAAGAACACAATCACAAGGAGGTAGAGGTAGTCAATCAAATAGAGGTAATCAGTCAAATAGAGGTAATCAGTCAAATAGAGGTGTACAGTTTAACAGTAGAGGAGGTCAAGGTGGAATCCCACAAAATAGAGACAACCAATCGTATAGAAACCCTGACATTGGTGGTTTTCAAGGTGGATCTAATGTTTACCAGATGACTGATGGATTTCAATCAATTACTGTTGGCAACGAAAGCAGAAATGTTCATCAAAATAATAGACGAGGGCGAGTGCAAGGTGGCTGGAACAATTATCAGCCCAGGGATTTCCATGGAAGCAATCGTGAAGGGCAGAGTAGAGGGTATGATAATTATAGTCAAGGAACCCATCAAAATAAAGGATATGATAACAATAGATTTCAAAGTACAACAAATGAAAGACAATGGAGCCAAGATCCTCAGAATTATTATGGAGATAGTCAAGATCAGTATGATGGGAATAATAGAGAGTATAATAGATATGATTCTGCTGATTCCAATAGACGTGGTTACTCCAAGAGAGGCAGAGGTCAAAATGGACAAACATATTACAATCAACAGAGAAATAACTAAATTGATTGATTTGGTAACATAATTTATTACTAAGTAATTTATATAATCATGAAGTTGCTTTATTGTTTATAACTAAACTAAACAATTAATTCAAAGTATACAATTAGGTATATTCATATAAATAAATCATACCATAAAAAAATTAATTTCCTTGGTTTTTTTTCTTAACATATATTTATTATTTAGTTTAACTGTATATAGTGATTGTATCATCAATAAAAATAATAAACTTCTACAGTATCAAGAATAATTTTTAAAAAATTATTCCATATTATTGATATAGATGTTTAAATATGAAGCTAACAATGTAATAAATAATTGTAATTCATATATTGTGAATATTTTTTAATTTGAATATAATATATATACAAACATTTTGATAATTTATTAAAGTAAACCTTTGTTATTGATTTTTCTTTTTACTATGTGTTAAAATTAAAAATTTGGCATTAGGATTGGTGTAAGCTCAGAGAGTCTAGAGTTGTGACAATGCGAAGTTATAATATTATATTTATTATTTAAGAAATCATGTAGGTATTATAGTTTATAAATTTATTATATTTGTAGATCACAATTTTAAATTTCTTAAATTTTTTTATATTGATGTAAAATGTTCAAAAAGATAACATACGCGACAGCATTGACTTAATTAATTTTTAAACAAAGTTTATAGAAATAAAATTGAAAATGTTAAATGTCTAGAAATACCTAGAGTATTAGCTCAGAGTCTAAATATTTAGAAAATTAGGAGAAAATAGCAAGTATCCGGGGTTATTTATTTTTGAATTACAATAACATAAGAGAAACCTGTACACTGTTTTGGTGATACTCAATATAGTTTGTGCAATGTTCTTCTTTCTCACAATGCTGTAATTGTTATGATGCTCAAGTCTGTTTGAGTTCTGAAAAATTACGATTTCAATAATTTGACGAAAGCCTCGTTACATTATAGTCTCATATGTGCTGCTCTATGAAGTTACATAGGTCCCTACATAGCATAGACGTATTTACGGGAGGGGTCTGGTGGGCACTGGCCCCTCGGCAGACTGTGCCTTCAACAAAATCATGCCAGGATAAATTTTTCTTTATTATGTATCTGTTTTTAATTTAGTTTTGTATATGTATTTTTATTAATTTGACAATGGTAATACTTCCTGATCAAAATTAAAAAATATTCCTACAGTTGTGAATTTTGTAACATTTAAAAATTAATGTTTCTTTATGTCTAAACAAAAATAGGTCTCACAATTAAAAAATTTGTTGTGCCCCCTAGGCCATCGAAATCTGAACACATCTATGCTAAATAGTACATACATTAGTTTTCCTGTGTCCGCCAACATACAAGAAATTGTATTAATTACACCTTGTCATCGTGGAATATATTTATTTTAATAATTACATATGTTGGAAAATAGTAAAATGTATAAAATATTCTTAATCAATAGCAGGTAATGAATTAAGTATGCTTGCCACTTGCGATTCAGTCACTCAATTGTCCACAAATTTAAAATGTTTTTTAATTTATTTCTCCTAGTTTCAATGGATTTATAACTATACAGTTGTTTCTTCTGCTTCTGTGATACCTAGATAAAATAGTGCAATTATTAAGCGAATAATATTTTAACTATTTTTAACACTAAACTGAACCATATCAAACAAACAAAAATTAATATGCAATAAATTACAATAAGTATATCTTTATTGTTATAATAATAATATATTTGTTATATTAGAAATTAGATATTTTATTAATATCATTGTTTTTGCAATATTCTTATATTTTATACACTTTTTATGTAGGTATATTTTAAAATCAAAGGTTATAATAATATATTAGCAATCACCAACAATACGAGTATAGAATGTGACATGCTGAGACTGTACTAGCTAAGATGAAGATTTTATCGAAGTAAAAATTGAAAAAAGAAAATTTATTAAGTAATAAGTATATAAAAAAAAAAGGAATAATAAACTAGAAAACTTTCAGAAAAAATATTAATCGAGGTTGATTAAATCTCGTGATTTGTGTTCTGGTAACATAACTATCAGAGCAAATGGAGCAAGTACCCTAGGACAGCAAAAGTTGTAACATTTGAAATATGTATGTTTAATAGGGGTGCCAACAATTATTGTCTTGGGACACCAATGAAAATTAGCATGGCACTGATAACTATTATTCTTACGAAGTCCACATCTAAATTTTTACTCAATTTTAATTTCTAAACTGTTTAAAAAAAATATAATTAAAAAAATCAATACCTACCTGGGAAATTTAAAAATCTTTACAACTAAAAAACTCTTTTGAAAAAAAAATGTTGAATCTCAAAACATTCAATCAAAATAATATATACTATTGAAAAAAAACTGGGTTTGAATATATTGATTTGCCATGGAGATACTAAAAGTTTAAAAGTGATATAAGTGGCCTAAGGGGACATTTAGGACATACTGTGTATGTATGAAGATAAATATATTAAAAGATGATTAAAAAACCTCATAAAGATGAAATTATAACAATTTACCAGCTACATTGCTTGATGCTTCAATTTCCACAATATCTGATTCTTTTATGGTAAATCCATCTACAACAACTACAATAAATTCATACAATTTTCCTCGTTTCAAACCCTTTACATCAATAAAATTCTTGTCAAGTTCATGCTTAGTTTCTTCATATAAATAATCGCCTTCAAGCCTATAAAATTACTTATTAGTTAAAATTATTAACCAATAGTTTTTAATTATATTGGTTCACATTATTTTTTTTATATACAGTAATTAACGGTTATGATTTTTAAAACTATTAAATATTTTAACATTCTTTTGGAAAATGTAAGATAACTACATTTTTTTCTCTTTTAGTCTTATATGTTTATATTAAATGAAGCCATTATCGGACATCAATAAACCCTTCTACACATTCTCTAAGCATTTTATAAAAACACCAATGTATAATTTCTATTTGCTTGGTTTCATTCATACGTATAAGGTTAGAAAATAAAACTTTAAAATTAAACATTCTTACATTTTCTAAAAATAATGTTTCAAAAAGTGTTACCATTTTTACAGAATTCATTATTTGTTCATTATTGATACCTACCCTGAATATAGAAATCAATTGTAAATTTAAATTTTTACTTGTATTTCACAAAGAAGTGAGATCCAGGGCTTCTATTAAGGCTTGGTTTCCAGATAATACGTACTGTATCAAAAAATTTATTATATGCTTTATGGACATAATTGAACTCTGGCTTATCTAGTTCAGTGTCTATTGGCAAGGGAGATTTGGTTTTCTGTTCAATAAAAAATCTATTGAGGGAAAAAAATAATTAAAATATCTCGAATATAATATTATAAACTACTTAAATAAATGTTTACGTACGGTTCTCCAACACCAGCTTTTGTAGCTGCTTGGATGTAAATTCGATAGTTAGTTGATGGTTTTAATGAAGCCAACTTGGCAGAAGTCTGTTTAGGATTGGTAATAGATGGTCGTTTTGCCCTTTCTCCTACCCCTTGTTGAGTCATTGATTCATAAGAAATCTCGTAACCAGTCAGTACTCCATTCGGCTCGTCTGGTGGTTGCCAACTCAATAAAATTGCGGAAGATCCCCATTGTTCAGCCTCTACTCCATGAACAGGCCCAGGGACTTAAACAAACAAAATGTTGTCCTAATTACCTAGTTATTTGTATACATACCAAGGTGAGTTTATAAATCCACCTTGGTACAGTGGTATACAAATTTTTACAAAGGTATGGTTTGATACAAGTCAAAGAATGAATCTTAAAAAAAAACACCAAAAAATATTAAATAAATAACATAAATAAAATTAATTAAGCCTACAAAATGAATTAAGTACCTCCTTCAGGTGTATCAAAAGATATAAATTGACTACGTGCTCCATTAAAATGACTGTTGTATGCAAAAATAAGCAAATAATGTTTAGCGTTAGGAAAAAATGTCTTAATTTCAACTGTTGTTTTATCTAAACTAACTTTCTCTTCAATCTTATTATTTTCTCCATCTCCCTCTGTCCAAAATTGGATCTATATTAAATATTACATTAATTTAATTCATTTTAATTTTTCGTTATTAAAATATTATACCTACATAACAATAAATACAAATATTTAAATGGGTATAAAAATAATATAATATAACATATGAAAATATATCAATTTACTTTGTAGCCTTTAAAGTTTCCTTTAACAGATTCAGGTGAAACAGCTTCCCAACTCAATATAGCACTTTTACTACCAGTAACATTTAAAACAGTTAGATTTTGAGGTGCATCGATTGGAACTACAAAATAACTTAAGATAGTTACAACAAAATAATAAGAATAAACTAATATAAGGAAATTTACCATCGTCGCCTGAATGTCCAATGACTTCTTTTTGAGGTCCGCTAGATTCACCCTTTTCGTTAAATGCAACTACTTTTACTTTATAATGTTTGTCTGTCGGTTGATTTAAGATAATTACTTTATTTTCAGTATAATCTGTTATTTCTTTTAAATTCCAGACTTGGCCAGGCATATTTTGTTTCCAATAAACTTGATATCTTAAGCCAGGAGCGTTATGATAGATTTTTGGCATTGGCTTAACATTATAAAATGTTATATTTTAAATTTCATAAAACCATTTCTTTTAAATTAAATTATTACTTACTGTCCAGCTAATAATAAGTTTAGACGGTTTAGTACTATAAGCTTCAATATTTTCTGGATTTGTATAAGGTACATCTGGCTGTGTGGTACAAAGACTTGAATGTAAAGATGGGTTCGACTTACCAATTTTGTTCTTTGCAATTATTCGGAATGTAAAATTTGCCCATGGTGTCATTGGTACAATTAACTCGGGATTAGTTGCAGGTACATTATCTGATGCAACTAACCAGGTGCCAGGATCAAAACTGGTATTATACTCAACAGTGTAGCTTAGGATACGTGCACGATTATCTCCGTTTGATCGCCATTTTACAACCGCATTTCTTTTATTACAAATAATTTCCAAGCCTGTAGGTGGATTTGGTTTGTCCTAACAAATGTTGTGTAAAATAAAATATGTATGAATATATTTCATAAATCACAATGAACATATCCATAAGACATAAATAATGACTCTTTACTTGAACAATAAGGGTGGCATTAACTGAGACTTGATCCAACTCAGTTTTAGCTAAACATGTGTAAATTCCAGAGTCTAATTCAATAGTCTTGGTTATGGTCATAGAATGATCATTATTTTTAACAAAACGAGGTTGGATATCATAATCTATAGGTTCATTATTAGCTAACCAGATAATGTTAAGATCCAAAGAATGATCTGCAATTGCTGTACAATAAAATGTGGCCGACGATCCAGCAACAACCACATTGTCCTCAGGTCCAGTGATGATTTCTGTATGTTCTACAGACAAAATGTGGTTATTTTAATTGTATTATACTCAAATATAACTTTAAATTGTGAACCTTTAACAGTAAGTGTTCTAGATGCATTTGCCGTTCCATAATTGTTGGTAGCAATGCAAGTATAAATTCCAGCATCAGTAAAACTAACTTCACTAAAAAAAATGAATATCAATTTTATATTCATGAATTACAATCTTATACATTTTATACTGACCTTATCTGTAAATCACCATTGTCTAATGTTGTATATCGTCCACCAGTTAATTCTATATTATTTTTTATCCACTTTGTTTGTGGTTTAGGAACACCAGATAGTTTACATCTAATTACAGTAGTAGTACTACCTTCAATAGTTTTTACATTGTGTGGAAGTTCATCAATTTCAGGAGCCAAAGCTATTATCAAACAATAGATGTTAATATCATAATACATATAAATAACATGTTATAGAACACACCTAATACATTAATATAAACGTCTCTGTAAATATATCCAACACTATTGGTAGCATTACAACCATAATTTCCAGTATCATTCTTAGTCAATGCTGTAATTGTTATAGAATTTGAAGTAACAGAACGTCTTGGATTTGGTGATGCTTCACTTAATGGACGACCGTTGTGAATCCACTTAATTGAAGGTTGTGGGTTGCCGCTTGCTTCACATTTAATAACAGCAGTTTCTCCTTCACCTCTTTCCACAATTTGTGGAATAACAGTGAAAACCGGGACAGCTGTTAATTAAATTGTATTTAGTACATAAGTAGGCACATAATTTATACCTATACTGCAATAATTGGTCATATAATAGTTATATAGGTATAAATGTATAATAGCATATTATAAAGCTGCTATAAATATAATATTATTGCAGTACCCATGACATCAAGCACAATATTATATGATTCTGGTAATCCTACGCCATTGCTAACTTCACATGTGTATTTTCCTCTATCTTCAAATTGTATTTCCTTAATAATCAAACTTTTTCCATAATTTGTTAGGGTAATCTGTTTATTGAATTGTATGGCTCTTCCATCTTTTAACCAAATAGTTTGGGGTAGTGGACTGTAAGTTTCAAATAAAAAATATATACATTTATTTACTAAAGATAATGATATAATAAGATATAAGATATAATATTACATACATTCCACCATAAATACAAAACAATTCAACTGTTTTATTCAACAATGACACTTCATTCCTCCTAGTTACATATTGTTGAATAGGTGGATATTTATTTTGTAAAATAGTTCCAGCAGTTTGAATAACATTTATATTCACTGGATTACCATATTTATATTCATTCCTAATAATTACAAATAATTTAGACTAGGTATTAAATGTAATACTTTAGTTTGAGTTGGTAGTAAAATCATTCATACATTGAAAATGAACTTGCATAACAATAATACGTAAAGCTAGCGTCAGATTGCATTACATATGAAAACCAAAGATTACCCTCTGGGTCAATCGTCATTCTACTGTTATCAACAGTCGTTAATATGTCATCTTTAGTCTAAATGTATACAAAATATATATATATATATATATATTAATATATCATTAATTATAATATTAATAAATATAATTGATAAATAATATTGTTGTGAGCATTTACTGTTTTTAGCCAAATTACAGTTGGCTTAGGCCATGCAGTCGGAGGATGACAAGTCAGCTTAAATGGCTCACCTTCTTGAGCATCAATATAGAGGTTCGGTTCATTGTTAAACAAATTTAGTTCAGCCTTCACAACCATTACAGATTTAGAGGTAGCTATACCCCAAGCATTTTCAGCAAAACATTGATATTGTCCTAACAGTAAGAGGTAGTTAAATAATAAGCTGTTAATTATTTTAAAAACAAACATAGGTACCAAAATCTTCATCTCTAGGTTTTGTAATAACTAGGGAACCACTGTCTGGTTGTTGAGCTATTCTGTCATCATATGCTTGCCAATCAAAGTTCTTACCATTTTTCATCCATCGATACCTTTCATAAAACCATTTAATTTTTCAAAAACAAATTTCACAAGATTTATCTAACTAATTTATAATACTTTGGAGCAGGCTCTCCTTCTGCTTCGCAATCAATTGTAAATGGTTTATCATTAGAATATTGATCATTAGCTACTTGAAACAGTACTTCATAACCAGGTGGTTCCTTAATAATATTTGGTGGAGATTGAACTAGAATGACATTATTTGAAAAATATAGTATAAATTAGGTAATATTTATATGGATCATAATATACCTATAACTAGATAGCACCTAATGGCAAAAGATTAAAAGATTAAAAACAAACTAAGTAAAGCATTAACTAGTTTATTTGGCAGTCGAAATAGAATATGTCCATTTGAGTAAAGAGTAGGTATTGAACTTTCTGATCTATTTCGTAGAACGGATGTGAATTTTATTCATTTCACGATACGGAACTTGATTTTGTACACATCGCATAATAAAAATTAAATAATACCATACATATGGTTCACTTTTTGTGAATATTTAGTACTTGTAGATACGATTGTACGAGACTTTTGCTATGTAACTATGTAAGTACTAAGTAGGTACCTAATCTGTAAGTTTATCCACATGACCACATGATGAAACAATGAAACAATTATAGAAATGAAACTCATTTAACATTTTAATAAAATTCAATTAAAACTATTAAGCCAATTATTAAGTAACGAAATATTTTTTTTTTCATTTATTAGATTACTCGTTAGGACGAAAGCACGTTCCTCCAGCGGAAAACTAAGTTACCTATTTAGTTACTTTATTCGGACATATACCCCTCCAAGAGACAGCGTGCAATTCGGACATTCCAATTTATATTAATATTTTGGCATGCAATCTGGATTCAGCTATTAGAATATATATAATCTGTAACATTTTTACAATAAGCATATGCGTGTAAAATACATTGGCAGTGAATTCTCGAGGGGAGTAGCTATACCTACCCAGGCACCCAGCATACATTATTTATAATTATAAAGAAATCTCAATGTAATTTCAGAAAAGCAAAAATAAACACAATACAAATTATTAAAATTATTATTTGTTAGAAAATTACAAAAATGCTGTATTATTTGTTTAAACATGCAATTCTATTGAGGAAACGACCGTCTATTTAATTTAAAACTATTATTAGGTAGGTAATAACTAATAAGTATAGTTATTGCCTCCCAAATATAGGTAGGTTTGAACATTGATTAAATATAGTAACTATACATATACTTATAATTTGTATCACTGCTTGGGCTGTCTATGTACATAATATATGGTCTATGTACATAATATAATATGGCCTATGTATATTTAATCAATAGTTAGTACCCGATCTATGGTTTGAGAGGCAATTCGAGTGTACCTCATGCTTAGATCATATACCTACGTATATGATCTAAGACCTCATGATAGCCCTTATGATAATACCTACTATATAGCCGCCATATAGGTAGGTACTTAGTATAAGTCTATGCCTCTATGGTGTACACAAACGGTCTACTCAAATGGCCTCCCTAGCATACCTAGATTATTAATTAATGTATCGTTACCTGTACGTGTATCTACTACTGATTATTTTATCGATTTCTGTAACGTTTAGAAGTATTATTTTTAAGTCATAAAGTATTCTCCAGACAGTCAACAGATCAATTTGTCGAATGCAATAATCTTTTCTATTTTCTATGCTATTGATAAGTAGTCTACTATCGTATTCAAATATTCAATATTTCTGTATTGTTCAACAGTAAGTTTCGATGGTACGACCAAAATTCCAATATTTAAAAGTTTTGACAATTAAATTAAATCTAACTTCAATTATTGACAGTAGAACATAAGTAATGATATTTTATCTACATTTTATTTATTGATTTTTAATTATTTGCTTATTATTATTAATTATTGTGCTGTATTGATTGTTATATTTACCAAAATATTTATAATTATTTACAAACTTAAGTTTTTGACAGTAAAATATAGTGATGTCTCATCTAAATTATTATAGGTTTTTTTTCAAAATCATGGATACATTTCAGAGTGATGTTTTGTTTTTAAAATTCCTATAGTACTAGCTACATTCGTCTATATATTTGAGCTAAAGACCTGTAAAATAAATAAATAATCAATTTTTGTAGTAACAATAATTTTCTAGTGCTTACACAAATCTAATTTCATCAAAATTATAAAAATTATAGTTACCTATGCTTTATTTCACCAATAATTGGACTGCTTTTACAATTAAACACAAGCAAATGCCACCTTGGCATCCCTCAAAAAACTGATTACAAGTTCCATACCTACTACTATAGTATGTGTTCGTTTCGTAAAATGAATGAAGTTACTATCCATTTTAAATGGATCAAATTATCAAAACATCAACTGAATGCAACATACTTATACTCAATACAGTAATAATATGAAATAATATTAAAGATTATATTAAGATTTATTTTGATCTCGTATGCCAAACAATAATCAAACCATAACTATTAATTATTATTATACTACCATAACCATACCTACTTCTTCTAATGTGTTATAGAAACCCTTATGGTATAAGTCAAATTATAATAACTGCATTCGTTCTTACGGATTGCATCTAAAAAAATTTTTTAAATACTACTACAACTGATGGCACCCTGTAAATAAGTCCCATGTGAAATGCTCAATAAGTCATTACGTCTTTAGTATGAATCCATAAATCCGGGCCCAGTAAAAAACAATATTTAACTAATAATGTAAAGATAAATGTACTTACTTATAGCTGATATAGTAGAAACTAGAAATGATAATAGTAATGTAGCTGAAAGCAGCGAATATTGAGAAGTTCTGTACATTTTGGTATACTTAAATTCCAAATATTAAATTGATTAATAGCTGAAAATATTATAAAAATTGTTTCGATTAATATATTTTTAGCACTATAGTTATACCGTAATTATGTAATATTATACAATGCTATAAAAATGAATAACTAATGTTTGTACAGTATAGTTATTGTGGTATTTGTTATTTGTAAAAAGTATAATTAGTCCTCACAAAAGGACTAAAAATAAAAAAACATATAGAAGTCTAAATAGGTTATTACTGTATTTTATAAACATAAAGACATTTTCAAAATATTTAGATTTGTATTAAACTATTGTTTATATTTTATATCACGAACCTATT